TATACTATATTATTATATATAAAAAAAAAAAATATTGATTATAAATATTTACATAATTTGACATATTTTTAACTTTTATATAATATTAATTATAAATAATAAAAACAAAGTTATTTACATTTAAATTTTATATTAATTTGAAATATAAAAAAAAAAAAAAATATATATATATTTATATATTTATATATTTATTAAATAAATTAAAAATTAATATAGAAAAATTCTTTTATAAACATAAAATAATGGATGACAAAACTTAATAATATGAATTTTGCTTTAAATAAAATTAATATGATATATAATAAACTATATAAGATTAAATTGTTTAAAACCAAATATAATTTAATCAACATACTTGTAATAAAAATAAAAATCTTTAACACAAAAACATAATTTTTTTTTTTTTTAATAAAAAAAAAAGAAGAATTTTTAAACACTAATAATTTACATTAATTACCACATTAAATATAATAAAACCTCCTTTAATAATAATTGTAATAATAATAATAATTAAATAAAGAATAATAATAAAATCTCTTTAAAAAAGATATACCAAACATATTATTATTAATAAACTTATATATGTACTAAGGACTTCTTTTATATTTTTTCCTAGAATACATTAGAAACTATTTAATATAAGAAAAAGGTCTTACTGGTCAATAAATGGCTTCCATAAGGTCTATTACTTGGCCTTTTTCTATTAAATTTCTATGGGCTCCTATTATGGATACTTTTTACAATAATAAATTTGGTCGTAGAAAAACTTATTTAATTCCTTCTTAATTTATAATTACCATTATTTTATTTTTCTCTTCTTTTTATTTCCAAAACTGGATAGATTCAAAAGACGTTTTAAGTATCTCTTTATGCGGCATTTCTTGTATTTTCTTCATTACTATATAAGATATAGCCGTCGATAGCTGGAGTGTCTCCCTTTTACACGAAAAAAACGTCGCATATGCTAGTTTTGCATAAAGTTTTGGCTAAAGAATAGGTGGAATCATAGGATATTAGTTCTTTATATATCTAAACGACGATTATTTTTGCCAGTAATTCCTCGGAGCTTCCTCAAAACTCCTCGAGAGTACCCAAATGTGTTTTTTGATGTCTTTTTTAATATTCCTGGGTACTATCTACGTACTTTTTTTCAAAAAAGAAAACTAAATTAATCCCTAAGAAATTAATAGTACCGAAAAATAATAATCATTTTTCGAACTAATAAAAAACATGTTAAATTCCATCAAAGATTTCTTCCGAAATAAAAGCATTAGACTACTAATTTTATTCCTTTTAACTACCAGTTTTGGTCTCTAATGTATTGATGTGACCTCCGAAATCATTCTTTTGGAAAGAAAATTCGACCGTTCCGTATTGGCGACTATTGAATTATGTATGATCCCCTTAACTTAGATAATTAGTGTATACGCAGCCAAAATATCATAATAAAACAAAGAATTTTAAATCTGGATTTGGTCTTTTTTGGCTAAATGTGTCTGGAATATAATTACTTATATAGTAGTTTCGGGATATAAAGAAGGTAATACGAAATAATATATAGCTCCATTGGCTATATTGTAAATAGGTGATACTATATTTAGTACATTACCGTTTATTTCGATTTCAGCGTTTTTTTTAAGGATGTGTGATCAGTCTATAGGTGGTACTTATATTACTTTTTTGAATTCTTTTAGTAATTTTGGAAGACTTTGGGCGAGTATTTTGATTACTAGTTTTGTAAAAAATATAGATTATTAATTATTTATGTGGATAGGTTTATTTTGGAATATTGCTGTATTTTTATATTGGAAAAAAAAAGTTATTATTATGTAAAAAAGTGATAAATAAGAATGGCTTATTTGTAAAAAAGAATATTAAATTTTTTGATTGTGTTTTTTTTTTTTAAGAAAATAATAATATATTTATTTGTATGTTTATTTTTATTTTATGGTAATTAATTATTATTTTAAAAAAAAAAATATTAAAAAAAATGCAAAAATGTTAAAATTGTGAAAAAAAAGAAAATGAATATAAAGAATAGTAATTAAAAGATATAATTATATATATTTATATATATTTATATATATATATATATATATAATTATAAAAAAAGAGTAGATGCATGTTTATAATTAAATATTTTTAAAGAAAAATTGTAAATAAAAATAAATGAATATACTTCTAAATTAGAGGACAAACAAAACTAAATAATAAAAAAATAGAAAGAAGAAAAAACAAACTAAATAAATCCTAAATATATAGAATTATAAAATATTACATTTAAAATCATTTAAATATAAAATTAAATATAAAAATTAGATGAAAATAGTGAATAATCTATTAATATCAGAGAGTATATTTTTAAATATATATAAATAATATTATTATATATATTTATAAATATAATTATATATATATATATTTACTTACTTTTTTTTTAATTAATATAGATAAATTTCCTAAATAAATATATCCATTAAATAAAAACAAGAAACTCTTAATAGTTTAATTCTAGAAAATTCACTCTTATAAAAGTTATCTTTTACAGATGAAAAAACAATAAAATAATTAGAAGAAATTTAAGGAATATAATAACAAATTGCAATATTAAAAGAATAAAATAAATAAAACAAAAGTATTTAAACAAATTTGGAAAAAGAAATATAAAAATAATGTTGTTTTTTAGTTAATATAGTTGAATAGTCTAAAGATGTTTCGAAAAATATGGATTATTATTCACACTTAAACAAATTAATTAATTAGACTAATTAACAAAAAAAAACCATTAATAATAACTTACAAAAAAATAATAAGAATAAGAAAAAAATGAAGTAAAATATGGAAAAATAGAAATATCAGAATAAAGGTACAATGAATATATTAAATAAATCTAAAATAAAAAGGATGAATTAAGTAAACTCTAAAATTAATAAAAAAAAAGCCTTGAAGAAGTATAAAATAAAATAAATATTTTATAACAAGAAAAAGAAAAAATGCTATTAAATTTAAAATAAAAAGACATAGTAAATAAAAATATAATATATATAAAAATATTATATATATATATATATAAATAAATATAATAATATATATATAAATATATATATATATATATATATATATATCAAAATATATATATAGACATTAAAATTTACTTTAGCTTAAATAAATAAATTTAAAGTATCAAATAAACATTTTTATACTTAATAATACTAATTACTAAATTTATCTCCTAATAAGAAAAATTATGAAGTTTTTTTTTTTTTTTAATATATATATATATATATTTAAATATTTATAAATTTTTATTATATATATAAATAAATATTTAATTATATATATATATATATATATATATATATTTTGTTTTATTAAATATTATAATATATGTATTTTATATATACTTTTTATAGGATATTGATGTTATTTATAATAAATTTAAAAATATAAGAACAGAAAATAAAGGAATTCCTATCTAATAATGTAGTGTTTAAACATAATTTAATGATTCAATATCTTTACCTGCGGATAAAACATATATAATAAAAGCAATTACTTTTTTTTTTTAAGAATATTTTATTTATGGATTAGAAGTGGATTATGTATTATCGAATGGAGTAGATTTGAAAATTAAAAGCTTTTAATAAGAAAATTAAATAGAGAATATATAGTCGTCAAGTATATAATTATAAGGAAGTGAATATATTAAATAAATTTAAATTTTTTCTAATTCTAAATTTATTGAGTATATAAAAATTCTAACATCTAGAAATAATTAATTAACTGCTGGAATCGATTAAAATATTTTACATTGTAGAAAATAAGAAATAGATATAAAAAATGACGAAAAACCGATTTCATTTTATGGATGGTTAGATTAAAAAGAAAAATAAAGTTTTAAAATAAAGATATATAAATATATATATAAATATCTAAAATTTTTATAATATATATATATATATATATATATATATATATATATATATATATATAATATCTATTTTATAATTTAATTTTATATTAATATTATATTAAAATAAAAGATAAAAATTTAATATTAATAAATTTCGGAGCAGAATTAAAATAAAAAAATATTTAAAATTATCTTAATTAATAATAGAAGTTTGTAAAAGAAATAAAAAAAATACTATTAATTGAAAATATAAATATTTATTAAAATAGATATATAGAAATTATAAAAACATAAATATATATTTAAATATATATTTTTTTATATTTGTATTTTTTTTATTTCTTTCATATTTAAAATTAACTTTTTATCCTTTACAATAATATTTATTATTTTTAAAATTTGTTTTTAATCACATATAACCAATATTTTTATATTTGAATATAATATTTTTATTTACTCAATTTTAATATTTATAAATAAAATAAAAATATAAAATACAATGACGTCTAAAATTTTTAACATATGATAATGAATATATTTGTTATATCTACTTAAATAAAATAAAATCCTAAAATAAATAATATACAAACTAAATATTAAAAATAAAATAAAAAAATATATACTATATTTAAAAAAAAATAATCAAAATGTAAAATGCGAAAGAAAGACTTCGAGACATTAATTTATAAATGCCTTCATAATAAAATTCTTGTATTTTATTTTTTAAATATATAAATAATTAAATTAAAATAGAAATAGATCCACAAAGGCTTCTTTAAAAATATCGTTCAACTTCTAATATAAACTAATCAGAATTAACTAATTTATTTTTCGGTCGTAACAACCATATCCGTTTATAAATATTCGACCAAATAAAAAAAAACCCTCATATATTTAAGCACCCTCACTTAGAAGAATATTCCCGTGAAGAATATCGTTACTAATCATTTTTATATTTAAAGACCTTAAACAAAATCCGAGCTGTAAACTTTGAATAATACATAAAAGACCCAAACGTTACTACATTAATGGGAATAGCTGTATATGCTTGGAACCCTTCCCACTGTATAAAACACGGCGTTCATTTTTACTTATACACTAAAACAATAATGAACATAGGTACCGAAAAACATTAAAAACTAATTCCCAGACTAATCACTTTAGAAGATATAGGATGCTTTGGTCTTACTGAGCTAGGCCATGGTTCCAATGTTCGCTCCATATTAACCACAGCTACATATGATAATTCCACTAACGAATTTATTATAAACACTCCCAATGATTTAGCCTTAAAATGGTGGATTGGAGCAGCTGCTTAAATCGCTAATACTTCCGCTATATGGGCCTAATTAATAGTAAACGGATAAAATTATGGAGTCCACGCCTTTATAGTGCCCATTAGAAACTTAGTAAAAAAAAAAAACCAATATATAATGAAAATAAAATAAAATAGGAAGACCATATGCCATGTCCAGGCGTTATAATAGGAGATTGTGGCTCCAAATCAGGTCTAGAAGGTATAGATAATGGTTTTTTATAATTTAAAAATGTAAAAATACCTTATGATAATCTATTAGATAGATTTTCTTAAATAGAAAACGGAGAGTAAAAATGAAAATAATAATATATATATATATATAATATGTTTAAAATATATAGATTTAAAACCGAAATTAAAAATCCCGATAAAAGGTTCGGCTTATAATTAGGCTCTTTATCTGGTGGACGTGTAATAATATCTTTATAAGCGTGTGTAAATGCTATTTCTGCATTAACAATAGGAATAAGATATGCCTGTATTCGTTAATAATTTGGACTTCCTGGCAAACCGGAATACCCTATAATCGAATATCCATTAGTCTAATATAGATTATTGACCAGTTTAGCTAAAGTAATAGTAATGTAGGTAGCTTCTTTAAGTTTAAATATGTTATGGGATGATAACTAATTACATTTATTAGATAAAAAAAAAAATAATTTAATAGAAGAGTTACATGCTAAAAGTAGTGTAGTGAAAGCATAAGCTAGTTGGATGGCAGCAGAAATTATTTAAAACTGTCGAGAAATTCTAGGTGGACATGGATATTCTTCACTAAATAGGCTTTCATAACTTTATAGAGATAATGATATTAATACCACTTGGGAAGGTGATAATACTGTTCTTTTGTAATAAACAGCTAAATTTTTATTAGATATAGTAAGATAAATATTAAAAGGATAAGAAATATTACATAAAACAGCTTAATTTATTACTTTACAACCAGTAGATGAATAAAAATGGTCAGCAAATGATGTTTCTAAATTTAAACAAAAGAATATCATAATCGAAGCTTTAGAATGGCGTGTTAATTTAGTAAAACATAAATAAAATAAATATATATATAAATATATATATAAATATATATATATATATATTATATATTTATATATTTATATATTTTTGTGAAAATCTAAAATATATACTTTTAAGTTATTATAAAGATCCGGTTTAAAATTATAAGAAAATTTATAAAATTAAAATACATTTGATGCTTGGAATGATACATAAGTATTTTACCTTAATAATGTATCGTTAGCATTCGGTGATCTGTATTAAGCCTAAGAATTTATTGAAGGAATTAACAAAATCAAAGATTAGAATACTATTTAAGTTCTTGATTTAGTTTTTGAACTTTGGGCACTTGATATTATTTAAAAAGACTAAGGAACATTTAGAGAAAATAATTTTATTAATATAGAATAGACAGGATAAATAAAATAAAGAATAATTGAATTATTAAAGTATATTATATATATAAATATTTAAATAAAAATATATTAAGATATAAATAAAAATTTTATTAATATTTTAATATATATATAATATTTTTATATTAACATATAAATAAATATTTATTATATTATATATAATCATATAATTAATATAAATTTAGATTAATTAAACCTGAAGCTGTTGGTTTAATAGATGTCTTAGCACCACCTGATCATATTTTAGGTAGTCCTTTTGGAGCTTATGATGGAGATATATATAATAAATATTTAGGACATATAAAAGGTAATAAGAATACTTTCTAAAGAGTTAATTGGTGGAAAGAAATTCATGATTAAGAATGAAAAACAAAAGAAAATAAAAATACATATAAAAATATAACATTATTAATAATTATTTTCTATATATATATATAACAATAGAAATATATATATATATATATATATATATATATTTATATATATATATATATCTGTATTTATATTATCATTTAATCAATTATTAAATATATAAAACATGATTCTTTTCTTCTTAGAAAAACTATGGAAAAAGCGTATTCAATTTTTCTTAATATTCTTAATATTATTATATGTTTCCTATTTTCTTATAGCATTCAGAAATTTCAAATATGCAATAATCTGTATTTCCTTGAATTTATAAACACATTAAATAATTCTATATTGCCTCTTCATATTATCCATATTCGATTTAAACTTACCCGCAAAAATAGTAATAATTTCCTTCATTTTTATTTATTTTTATTAATTCCTTATATTGATTAATACTTTCCTAATAATTTTTCAAAACCCTATTTAATACTGCCAAATTAACTCTATTCTAAAATACATTCGTTCCTTTTTTTACTAAAAACTAATAAACCAAAACCGCTACATTCAATTTTTTTTTAATAATAAACATTTAGCTTAAAATCTCAAAAACCAAAGGATTATTTCCCTTATATTTGTCCTCAAAACCTTTATATAATTACTATAATAAAGCCTCATCTTAATTTTCTATATTTTCAATAATTTTTTATAAAGCCATATCTTTTTGAAGTTCCCCATTGCACTCTAAGCCTTTCAAAAGATACTAAAAAGCCTCTTAAAATTTTTACTATTAAGATAAGACATTCCCTAAAGCCAAAAACCCATCTTAATTATTTTAAAATTCCTATATATATTCTTCTAAATATAAAACAGCTTTTTAAAAATCGCCCTTTTATTAATAACATAAACCAAGTTCAAAAAAGACCATTTTTTAATTTTTATCTAAATCTAAATAAAAATTTTAACAAAAAATAATAGTAATTTATATATAAAACCAATTAGTTTTTCTAAATATTCTATAGATAAATTCGTCTCGTGTAAAATTCTTAAATTTTAGGCTAAATTAAATATAGAATTGTAATTTTTAGCATCTTTTTCAACACTTTTATAAAAATAACATGTACTATTGTCTAAATCGCCTTTATTTTTATATAAAAATCCTAATCTTTGATTAGCTAATGCATGTTCAGGGTCTTTTTCAATTACTTTTTGGTAATTTTCTTCAGCTTTTTTCAAATCGAACATTTTCTCGTGTAAAAAACCAATACTGAAGTACACTTCAGGTATTTTTTCATTTATTTATTCATAAAATTTAAGACCTTTTTTTTCATTATTGGTCTCTATGTATGCATTTAATAAGTTTTCGGTTATATATAGGGGATTTAAGGACGCTGCTTTTTCGTAATAATATAAAGATTAGTCTTTTTGGCATTATTTTGAGTATAATTAGCCTAATATATAATGGGCTTCTGAATATTAGAAAGAATTTTGAGTGTTTGGGCCTTTTTAAATGATATTTTTGTAAAACTCGAATTATTATGTAGATGAAAATTAAGAAAAAAGTTTAAAAAAAGTATTTTTTTTAATAAAAATTTAAAGCATAAATTATATTTATTTTTATACAAAATTAAAATAATATTTTATTTTTTTTAAAAAAAAGATTTATTATATGAAAAAATAATAAATATATATAATATACGTATATAATAAAAATTAAATAAAAATAAATAATTAAATTTATTTCTACCATTAATAATTATTTTATTATATATATATATTTATAATAAAATTTATATTAAAAATATTAGTTTTGTATTAAACAAAAATAATATGTTTAACTATTATTTTTTAGAAAAATAAAGATAACCCAACATAGAAGAAAATATAATTTTATAAAATTTTAATGATTAAAACGAAATACCCAATTTGCTATAAAATTCTACATATAAAAACAAATTAAATAAAACATTAGATATAATTTATAAATCAAAATTGAATCAAATGAGATAAAAAAGTAAAGCAAATAGAAAAAAAAGCGATGACTTAAATAACAAAATTAAAAAATAAATTATTTAAATGGAAAATTAATGGTCTGATATAAAAAAAAAAAAAATATAAAATATATTAATTTAGAAAAAAACAAATAATCATAATAATAATAATAATAATAATAATAATAATAATAATAATAATAATAATAATATTAATAAAAATTATTATAATGATTATAAAACTAAAAATTTAAATTATTAATAAAAAATAAAAAATCTACCTTTAAATTAAAAAATTAATGAAATTTTATAAAATACTAAAATTTTAAATTAAAAATAAAAATAGTAATAATTTATATTTATTTATATATATTTATATATTTGTATTTTTATATATTTATATATATTTATATTTATATATATATATTTATATATATATATATATATTTATTATTTAATTTTTTTAGACCTCATTCTAACCCATAATCACTGAGTAAATTTTAAACTAATAATAATTTATTTAACACTTTCTTCTTAAATTCTACCTCTAATAATAGTTTTGAAATTAAAAAATAGTAACTTAATAAAACTATTTCTATTAATAAAAGTAATTATTCAACATCATTTAATCCAAAAAATAACTAAAAGACTATTTTTCCATATAACAACAAATCTTTATATAATTATTAAAAAGACTATAAATCTCCTTTTAATATTTCTTAAGAATAAAAAGCAGAATCTTTATTAAAAATTCTCTAAAAATATTAAAATATTAACCATTATAATCATATATATTATAAAAGAGATGATAAATTAAGAACTAATAGTAATTATAAATATTTAAATAAATAAATAATATAAAAATAGATGTTAAAGTTTACTAAATAAACTAATTTTCTTAGAAAAAATAAATTACAGAAACTTTTAAAAGTCAACGTAAACATTATTAATAGTTATAAAAAGTCTGTTAGGATGTATAAAATTATATTTTAGATGATGTAGACAAAAAAATAAAATATGAAGATAAAAAGCCTCCTATATTAAATTAAGAAAACTAAAAATAGATTTAATTATAATACTAAATTTAAAACAATAATTAATCTTAATAAAATTCGTTTAATTTTGAAGAAGAAAATATATGTAATTTACATAAAAATTAAACTTTTTAAATAAATCTTTAAAAATTAAATAATAATTTAATTACACTTAATAATAAATCTCCCTATATTTCAAAATATAAAATATATCAATAAGTAAGTTTTTACATTAAACAAACAAACAAAATATTAATTTAAAACCTTTATATTTTTTTATAGTAAAATAAAATAGATAATCATTTTAAAGAATATTCATAGAAAACAAAGCCAATTTAAAATCCTAAAAAAAATTTATAATAATAGTAAAATATCGAAAATAGCATTATTTTTTCGGATAAAAATAAGTAAAATTATATTATTTTATTTATTTATTCATTTATTAATTTAAGTTAGAGCTCATAAACTCGATAAAATTTAAAATTAAATAATTAAAAAATGTATTAATATAATAAAACTTCGAATTTAAAAAGAAAAGATTATTGAAAAAAACATAATTATTAAATATAAAAAATTAAGATGTTATGCTTTTCAAAAAAATGAATAGGATTACAACTAAATAAAAAAAATTTTCCTTTATAAAAAATTAAATATAAACTAATAAAAAATTAATACAAAACTTAATATATAAATAAAAATATAAAAAAATCTTTAAAAAAACAAAAAAAAATAAAACTAAAAAAAAAAAAAAAGCAATAAAATAGTATTATTTAAGTTCTAAAAAAGCAAAAAATAATAATCAATGAATTCGTAAAAAGTATCAAAAATAACATGTTTTGGAGCAGGTTATGTAGGAGGACCTACAATGGCCGTTTTTTCAAAATACCATTAAGAAATAAAAGTAAATAATATATAAAAATAATTATATATATACATATATATATATATATATATATATATATATATATATATATATATATATACATAACAATAATAATTTTAAAGTTCATAGTATACGATGTGAACGAATCTATAATAAAATAATGGTAATTTGATTAATAATTACCAGTATTCGAATTAGGTTTAAGTGAAATAATAAAATAATAATTATGCAAGAATTTGTTTTTCACATCAGATTTAAACGAAGCTTTATAAAACACAGACATAATTTTTATCGCTGTTAGTACCCCTACAAAAGAAAAAGGCCGCGGAGCTGGTAAAAGTCTCGATTTACGATACTTAGAAGAAAGTGTAAGAACAATTGCTTGCTATTTTAACCAAAAAGAAATGCAAAAACGAATAATATTAGTCGAAAAGAGCACAGTTCCTGTATAAACAGCTACCATAATCAAAGAAATCTTCAACAAGAATTAAACAAATTATCCATAAAACAAATAGAAATTTTCCATAATTTCTAATCCTGAATTTCTTTCTGAAGATAAAAAAATATTATTTATTTATTTTTTTTAAAAAAAAAAATATAAGAAGCGCAATTATAGACCTTATAAATCCCGATAGAGTAATAATCGGTTCAAAAAAGGAAGATTTAGAAAGCGCTTAAATATTAAGTAATTTATATGAAAAATGGGTCCCTAAAGATAAAATAATCTCAACTAATATTTCATCTAGTGAACTGTCAAAAATAGTCGCAAATGCATTTCTAGCTTAAAGAATTTCCTCAATTAATAGTATTACGCCTTTATGTGAAAAAATAGGTGCTAATATAGATGAAATAAAGGCTTGCATAGGTTCTGATTCTAGGTATTATATTATAATTAATATATTTAATATAATAATAAAAAGAATTGGAAATAAATTTATTAATTGTTCAGTTGGTTTTGGAGGATCTTGTTTAAAAAAAGTTTATATTAGACTTAATAATATATATATATATATATATATATATATATATATATATATATATATATTATATATGTTTATTAATTTTATTTATTTAAGGATATTTTAGGATTATGCTATTTATGTGAATTTTTAGGATTAAAGGAAACTTAAGAATATTGGTTTTAAGTATTAAAATTAAACGAATATTAAAAACAAAGATTTACTGATACTATAATTGAAAAAATGTATAATAATGTTTCGAATAAAATCCTGACTATTTTTGGTGTTGCTTTTAAAAAAAATACTAATGATGTTAGAGAAAGCGCTTCTATGTAATTTTTTAATTTTTTTAATTTATTTTTCTAATAATAAAAGATCTGTATGCTCTAATCTATTAATAAACGGTGCTATATTAAATATATATGACCCTTAGGTCTAAAAAAATGCTTTTATAAATGAAATGTAGAATTAAAATTTATATACAGAAGATTATTTTTAAAAAATAAACTTTTTTAACCAAGACTATCTAAAATCTGTTGAAAGTTCGCATTGTATAGTTATTTTAACTGAATGGGATGAATTCAAAACTTTCGAATATTCCTAAATGTTTTTAAAAATGAAAAGGCCTACTTATATTTTTGATGGAAGGAATCTTTTAGATTAAGATAAAATAGAATAAATTGGTTTTGCATATGTAAAGCTAGGTTGATTATTATACCTAACAAAAAAAATAAAAATATAAAATTCATAAAGAATATTATTAATAATTATATATTCTTTTTTCTTAAATATTTGCTAAAATTGTAGTTTATTATTTTTTATATTGTAATTTTGCCCTTATTTATTCTATTTTCTTCCCTTTTTTTGAAAGAGGAATTTTAATCATTTCTATATTAGGAAAAGTCATTTTTCTTATTTTCTAGTTTATAATTTCCTACATAATACTTTTTACCTTTTTGTTTTGTTTTGTTTTTTGTTTTTTTTTATTTATTTTTGTTTGTAAATAACAAAAAAAATAAAATATATACTTAAGGCAATTTCGATAAATGATACTTTTTAGATATAATAGGATCTATATCTAATTAAATTACAGGTTCCCCAATAAAAGAAAACCTATTTTAATAATAATATTATCTTATATAAACAAAAAAAAAACCAGCTTTTTCCATAACTTTTAGGAACAAAGCAAGCTCTAATAACAGAATAAAATTCATTTAATTAAATTTTAATAGTCATAGGTAATTTATATTAATTAGCCTTTTATAATTAAATATAAATATAAAGTTTTATTTGATATGTGAAAATACTTTAGGCCAATCAATATGATAAGCAGTATCAATTTCGAATATAATAGTTCCTTTATAAGATAATTCTAAATCAACAAGAAATTCACAATCTTCACTTTTTTAAGGAATAATAGATTTTATTTCTGGTCCTTCACCTTTTATCTAAATATATATATATGTATATTATAAAGATATTTAAAAAATAAAATAGTTAAAATATAATAACAATCAATCCATGAATAATCATTTCTTCTAATTAAGAATTTAATTTTTTATTTAAGGAAAGATAAAGTTCCTTTGTAATAAGATTTTTAAAGTTTTCTGAATCTTTCCATTATTTGAAAAATACTTTTAATAATTTAGAAATAATTTTTGCAGCAACAATATTTTGTGATGAAATTTATTTATGAAAATTTCTTATTTATTAACTATGTATAATATATATATATATATATTTATATTTTTACAAATATATATTTATTTATATTTTTTTTTTATATATAATTTTTTAATATATATACTCAGCTTCTAATTATTATTATTTAAAATCATTTTCTTTTAAACTAATATAACTATTATTTTATGCGTTTATAAGACTTTCTTATGAAGATTTTAATTCATTATCATCAATTATTTTTTCTTATTATTAATTCAAAACCATATCAGATTTCTTAGTTATCTAAACAAGGAATTCAGCTGATTAAACACAATATAAAACCAAAGAATCCAAAAGTTCTATTTTAAGTTCAGTAATTGCATTTTCATAATTTTAAATAGTTTATACACAGTCTAAAATTTCTTTTTTTTATTATTTCGCTTCTTTTATAATATTCCCACCTTCCTATACTATAAGTAATATTTTTTTCTTAAATAAGTTAATACTTTCTTCTACTTTAATTATAAAATGCTTTAGAAATTCTATACTTTAATTTAAGTCTATGTGAATATAATTTGCCAATTATTTATAAACTATCAAATCTCCAAAAACAATTTAATTGAATTACAGTTTTTAAGAAAACTACATTTAATATATTTTGAAATATTTCGAAACATCTTCTATTAAATATTAAATTTCTAAAGAATGATTTTATATTTCTTATATTTCCATTTAGGCCTACTAAATATTTAATCTTATATTACTTTAATTTTTACTCTAAGATTAATCTTATATAATTTTATATATATAATTTCTTTTTTTTTTTTTTTTTTTTTAATAAAAAAAAAAGAAAAAAGAAAGAAATATAAGAAAAAAATAGAAATTACTTATTTCATCTTATTTTTTAAAATCATCAGAATTATTATCTATTGATAATAAAGATTAATTATCACTAAAATTACTTGAAATAATACTTTTATATAGGCTTTTTTCTTCCTTTAAATTCGTACATAATAAACTATGAATATTTTTTTAAGTTTCTTTTTAAATATCATAGAATCCATTAATAATACTACATATACTAGTTTTAAATAAGCTCAAGAATTTTCTTTTTTTAAAAAATAAATAAATAAATACTCTAATATATATATTAAATTACCTTTCCCATATATCTTTAAATCGAACTATCTTGTTATTTAGCTTCTAGACTGTATTTTAAAGTTTCTCGAGTGCTTCATAGCCTGCCGAAAGTTTTATTTTCGAATTATTTTTATCATAAAGTATTAATTCTATTTCTCCTTTAAGTTCTATTCTTTTCCTACTTTCTTATTTAGATGAATTTGGTTGTTACTTTATTGTTTTTGTTTTTTTTTAAATAATTATTTTATTTTTTCTTAAAAAAAAAAAAATACTTTATAATTATTCATCATATATTAGACTTTTTTAGTTATTTCTTGATAATGCTTTTCTTGATTTTTTACTTCTTCTTTTTTTTTATTAATTAATAATTTTGCTTCTTCTTTTATTTATTTTAGTTTTTTATATTTTTCTTAATATTCTTCCTAAAGAATCTTTTTATTATATATATATATATGTAATTATTATTATTATTTTTTTTAAAAAAAAATACTTTTACTAAATCAGATATGCCAAATTATACATATTAGACAAATTATTCATGATTTTTACTTATTTAAATAAAAATATTCTTCATATTAGACCAATTAGGCAGTTTTATTTTTAAACGATTGACCTAATATTATTTACTTTCCGGTATTTATAAAATATGGCAATACTAAACCTTAAATATTTCTTTCGCATTTTATAAACTATATACTTAAGATTATTATTAATCTTTTTTTACGACAGCCTCAAATATCGAAGTTTTCAAAAATCTAGCTTTTCCTATTAATTTGATATTTTTTGCGAACTCCTTTTCTAAATTTAAAGTCTAATTTAAAAAATTATTAAACGATTAAACTCTTTTTAAATAAAGTTTCCTTCCGAATTTCTAAAGACTTATCTATTCTACTTATTTTACTACTTATATCTATTATAGTAGATATATATTAATATAATATATTTATTTTTTTATACTATATTTTAGTCTAAATTAGTAGTTGACATTTATATTTTTCCATCATTTTATTAATTTTTATTAGAAATGTTTTTTTCATACTATTTATCTTCCTTTTTTTATTATAATATACTTCTAATTGATTATTTTATAAATTATATTTAGAATCGGCATCTTCTTCTTATATTTTATTAAATTATTAAGAAGGTTAATTAACTCCATCTTATGTATACTTTTTATTTATTATATATATATATATTATTTTTTTTTGTTTTTAATATTTATACCTTATTAATAAAAGCCTTCTTTAATTTGTTTAAATCTTTTATTTCATTTAAAGTTAGATCTCCAAATAATCTGTCTATTTAGATTTTTACTATTTAAAAATAATTATATAGCCTTTTATAATTTAAATTTTATACTTGCTTTAAATAAACTAACTTTAAAATTATGTTTTTTTAATATCTTATATATAAAAACTAAAAAAATGCATATTTAAAATATAAAGCATGCCAAAAAGGCTTATAAAAATCCTTATATAAGCTAGTATTTATTTTAATCTAAAAATAAGACTGCAAATATTATAAAAATTAATAACAGTATTATTATTATCATTTTTTTAGATTAAATTAAATTAATTAATAAAAAAAAAAAAAAATTATTTAAAAAAATTTAATTAAATTTTATTTAAAATAAATATAAATTAAATATATCTATTATATATAATATTATTAAAATTTATTAAATTAGGTTTTATTTAAATTTATAGATATAATAACAATTTTTAAAAGCTAATATTTAATTTATATATTTAATATATATATTTTTTTTAAATTATTATATATATACATAAAAATAGTTAATAAATATATTCTTATAACAATATAAATATAATTTTTATATTGTATCTAATAAAATTTTTAATATAATTATTATATATTTTATATTATATATTTATATATATAAATCAATCTAATTTTAATTAATTTAAATTTATTATATATATTTATTTAATTACTTTTTTTATTATAATTATCTGTTTAAAATGTATTTTTTTCTTAATAATTAATAATATAAAATTATAATAAAAAAAAATATTTAATTCACAAATATATATTTATAAAAGTAAATATATAATTAAAATAAATTAATATTATTCGAAGTTTATTTAATTTAAAAAAGTTAAAATAAAAATGGCATTTTAAAAATACAAATTTTATATAATTAATAATTTTTATTTTTATAATATGACATAAAAATACTATTTTCCAAATTTTTTATTTAATTATAAATAAAAAGTCTTAATCCATTTCAAAAAAAAGTCATAACTATTTTATTTTTTTTTAGATTCAAAAGGCTAAAATTAAAAATATTAAAAAAAAAAAAAAAACATTATTTAAAAAATATTAATAAATAAAAAATTGATTGTATTTTATTTAAAATATTAATAATTTTTTTAGATTATTATAATTAAACTTAATAAATTGTATTGTTTTGACTTTAATTATATCTATATAATTTATTTTTTATACTAAATTAAATATATTACAAATTTATTTATATATAATCAATATAATTAAAGATTAGTTTTATTTTAATTAATTAAAAATTTATTTAAATACCCATTCTATTTATTAATTTTGAGAAATAAAAATTATATTTTTTGGTTTAAATCTTAAGCCTTTAATTATAATGAACATGTTATAAATTATAGAAAATATAATTTATTGTAAGTCCTATTTATTATAAGATATTTTAACTTTTTTAAATTAATTTAAATAAAAAGTTAAGTAATAATAAATTTTAACAAAAGCATTTAAATTATTAAATTTTTATTTTGGTATTATTATTATAAAATATATATTTAAATTGGATTTAATAAACAAAAAATTTAATTTTTTTAATTAAATATATTAATAATTATAATTATTATAAAAAAATTTAAAATAAACATGAATTTTTATGAATAATATATCCTATTTTAAATTATAATATTTTATATTTAATAATATATAATAATTTTTTTTTATTTTTTTTCTATTTTTTTTTTTTTTTGATTAAATAATTTATTGTATATAATAATAAAAAAAAATATTGTTTATAATTACTATTTTTATAAAATATAAAAGTAAAAATAAAAATACAATAATTTATAAATAATCAAAAATAAATTATAATATTCTTAATTTAATAAATATTATTAACTTATATATCATTATATTGTAGGTCTTATAAATCTTTTTCTTTTAGTTTTTATCTAATTATATTATTTATTTTTACATATATAGAACACTTTCATTTATTTCTCAACGTCTTTTATTTTTGCAACTCTAACCCACCAAGAAGGATCCATATTTAAAAATTCTTCGAAATATTTTTTATAAGGAGAGCTATCAAAAAGTGTTAATATAAATTCATTATTTAATTTATGCTATTAAAAGTAATTTAAAAAGCCTTAATAAAAGCTTTTGTCATCACCGTATTTTTTTTAATAACTCTTTTAAATCCTTTAAGAATATTTTTTGTATAATTACTATTATTTTTATATTTTCTTATATGTTGATTTAAGATTTTCGAGTCATTCAATGAAGTTTTATTGTTTTATTTTTATTATTCAGTACTTTAATCAACTATTACTTAGTCTTAATATTCATTTTTAATTAAATTAGATAATTAATTGAATTTCTATTATTAATTTTATATTTATTAATATTATAATGGTTAATTTATTTATTCACTATGTTATATAATATGTTAATTGTAGTTTAAATTTTATTGAGTATTATTTTATATTTATTATTATTAGTTTATAAAAAGAATATTTTTTTAGTTTAGGTTTTCTAACTATTTTTACGTTTTTAGATTTTGGATTTTTTAATACTCCTAAACTATGTATTTTTCGTGCAATTTTAGCATTTATTATTATTTTTATTGATAATATAAGTATTATTAGGCTAAATAATTCTTTTAATATTAATAAAAATACGATTATTATAAGTCATGATTAGAAAACACATTAGTAAGGTTTTAGTCTTAGCTTTTAATATTTATATAATTATTTTAGAAGCAATTTTAGTAATTGTAATTTTAAGGAAACATTTTTTATTTTATGATTTAATTTGTATTCTTTAAATTAAATTATTATAAAAATATATAAATTAATTAATGCGATTTTATAATAAACATTTTAATGTAAGTTATTTATTTGAACTGATAAATAAATAATTTTTTTTTTTTATTAATGTAATTTTACAAAACAAATAAATAATTAAATATATTTTTAACCAAAAAAAAGAAAATCAAACCAAAAATCATTATAAGATTAGTAAAATATATTTTATTAATTTTATAAAGTAGATAAAATAATTATTATAAAATAGAAAAATTTTAAAGGAGGAAAAAATATATTTTATTATTAAGTTTATTTTATATATATACAATAAAATATTTTCTTCCAAACTGGTAAATATATATTAATATTTAAAAATAAATAAATTCAGAATTAATAGGAAGAGACAGAAAAAAAATATGAAATAAAGAAAAATTAATTAATATATATATATGTATATGTACATATAACTTATTTAAGTTAATATTACATATTAAATAAATTTTTTAATAAAAAATTTAAAAAATATCTACATGAAGAAAAATTTTACATTTTAATTAAAAAAATCATTAAAATTTTAAATTTGATTTAAAACAAAACATTAAATCCATAATTCAATAGATAAAAAAAGTACCAAAAAAAATTTATAAATGTTTATATTTTTAATAACAAAAATAATAATACATAGAATATTTAAATATAAAATAAAGTTAAAAAAATTTAGATATAAAAGTTAGAAATAATATAAATTATCAAAAAGGCAAATAAATGAAATTTAGTTTTTATTTAATTATAAAAAATATAAATATGTTCTATATATACTAATTTATTATATATTTTTTGACCATATTTTTTTTTTTAAATTTTTAATTATTTATTTATTTTATAAAATTTTTAGCAATAATAACAGAAGGTGGGGGGGGGGAGAGAAATAAATTTTTAAAAAAATAAAAACTAATATAAAATAAATATTTATTATAATAAAAATAATATATGTTTGTATGATTTATTTTATTTTTTTTAATTTTTATTAAAATAAATAAATAAACATTAATTTTAAAAAATATAAAATAAATTTATTATATTTCAATAATTTTTAAATATGTATTTATAAAAGTCAATTAAATAAAATATTAAATTAAAAAATTAAATTAATTTAATTTAAGGAATTATCAAAATTTTTTATAAATTTATTTTATTTTCGCTAAAATATAATATTCTTAACCTTTTTTAATTTTATTTTATTTTAAATAAGTTAATTAATTGAAAGTAAATTATCAATTTTTTCTTTTTAATTAAAATTATTGAAATATAAATTAAAAAAAATAATATTTTATTATAATATTATTAAAACATAATTTAATAAACGAAAAGAGTTTTCAATTATTATTATATAAAAATTTGTTATTTATTAATACAAAATTAAATATAAATATAATTTATAAAATAAATATATATTTTTAAAAAACAAAATAAAACAATATATTTATAAAAAGAAAATATAAATAATAATATATGTTTAATAAACAAATAAAAATAATATACTTTTACAAAACAAATATAAATAATATATTTTTTCATAACTAAACAAAATAATATAATATATTTATAAAAAGCAAATATAAATAATTTATTTTTATAAAAACAAATATAAATAATGTACTTTTACAATACAAAACAAAAATATATATTTTATTAAAAAAATAATATATTTTTACAAAACAAAACAAAAAATATATTTTTAGAATAAAAAACTAAATAATATATTTTCATAAAACAAATAAAAATATAATAAATTTTTATAATATAAATATAAATAATATATTTTTACAATAAAAAACAAAATAATATATTTTTATAAAACAAAATAATATAATACATTTTTACAAAATAAAACAAAACAATATACTATTACAATACAAATAATATATTTTTACACAACAAAATAAAAATATATATTTTAAACAAAATATATAATATATTTTTACAAACCAAATAAAAATAATATATTTTTACAAAACAAATAATAATAACATATATTTATAAAACAAATAAAAGTAATATATTTTTACAAAACAAATCAAAATAATTTATTTTAAACAAAATAATATAATATATTTTTACAAAACAAATAAAAATAATATACTTTTACAATACAAATAAAAATAATATATTTTTTTAAAAAAACAAATAAAAATAATATATTTTATTTTTATTTTTCTCCAATAAAAAATATGGACGATAATATTCCCGATTAATAATAAATAAAAAAAGATTTAGAAACATTATTTGAATTATTGAAATGTAAATATATACTATATATATTTAAACATATAAAACAAATAAAAGCGGATAATCCTTAATAAAGTAATGAAGAAGAAGTTGATTAATCCACAATAATTTCATTAATGCTTTATTTGCATTTATAAAATGACGAACCAGAATTTTTTTAATATATTAAAGAATAAATAGAATAACATTAAGTAGTAAAAAAATCTTAATTTATTGATATGTTATTAAATCCTTAAATAACCTTTTAAGGAATTACAAATGATAAAATGGCATCAGTAAATATAAATTTCCAATTTTTCAATTGTTTAATTTAAATAAAAAGTATTTTAAAATCTTCGATAAAGAAAAAAAGGGATCATTTTCGTGTGATGATTTTTTGAGTTTATATAAGAAATCTCCTGAATATTGTTCTTTACCAATTGAAAAAAGAGCAGATATTGAAAAATAAATAAGGGAAAATTTTGAAGTTGTATTATAAAATAATTAATAAGAAATAACTCCAATTGAATTTTACAAAATAATAAACTAAAATGATTAATGAAACAAAAAAATAAAAGACAAAATATTTATTATAAAAATCTTATAATTAAAAAAAGTTTTACATTTAAAAATTATTATTATATTAATTTTTTATTATATATAAGAAAATTAATAAAAATATAATATAATATAATATAATATATATATATATATATATATTTATATATAAAAAAATCTCATAATTTTTATTTCCTATCATTATTTATTTTAATTTACATCTTTATTCCTTTTTTTTATTAATTTTTATGTTTATTATTTATAAAAATAAATACTATTATAATTACTAATCATTTATACTTTCATATTGATTAATTGCTTAATTTAATACATCAATTTTTTTCTTTAGATTTTCTAATCTTTTAACCAGTGAAATTTTTTCATTTTCATTATTAGTTTCTTATATTTACTTCTCCACTTTTTATAAATGCTACATTAAAAGGCTTACCTATTATTATAATTAACTTAGAACATTTTCGCTTTCTCCTTATCTCTGATGTTATTCTAATTCTTCAGCAGGATCATTAAACTCTGGTAATTTTAAAGGTTTAAGACTACCTTATTTCTATATTTTATTTTATTTTAATATAAAAACAAACAAACAAATAAACTTATAAATAATTTTACTTATCTTCCATCTTATTAATTTTATTTTTAAAAAATAGAAATGTTTTAAATATCTTCAGCAAACTTATTAATCGCATCTTCGTCTTTTTGACCAGGTGCTTCTATAATTTTTAGATTTTGATTGGGATTCATATTACTTAAAGGCGCAACTTAATATATTTTCCAATTTTTTTTAAGATTAAATGAAATAACACTCCTTCATATTTAAAGGGCAATATTATTATTATTATTATCTAAAACAATAGGTTCTTTACATAATATAAGGGTTCCGAATTTACTATTATTATCTTCAATAGTAAAAATATCATTTTCAAAAGAAAGAACAGCATGATATCTAGAAACTGAAATATCACTAATTTTAATATCCGAATCATTTCCTCTTCCAAGTTTAATAATATTTTTTTAAGATAAGGTTATTATATGGATACCTTTACAAACATTTTTATCTTTACTTAAAATTTCTAAAGTGATATAAGGTATAGGAGGTTTTTGTAATTCAACTGTTGAATAAATTTAGTTTTTATTTTGACCATATCTATATATACATTTTAGAATAAATGAATATATATAAGTATAATATATTATATTATATAAATTATTATATATATATATTATGTATATATATATATTATATATATATATATTATAATATAATATATTATATTATTTATATAAAAAAAAAATTAAAATACTTGGAAAAGGGTTTTTACACAATTCACATTCAAATTATTTCTAAACAAAAGAAACTGAATATGAAGTACATTTCGGATGTAATCTTCTTTTCAACCATTATTATAAACACTTAATGTGAATAAGTCTAACCGAACCGTCACATTTGCAAGGTGTTATAAACGGATTATCTGGCTCATCTGTATCTCCTAAGCATACTCTACACGAATTGTTTTCTTCTGTTTAATCATTTAAAGGAAAAAGTTAAGGATCATCCATATTCATAACTTCATATTCTTCATTAAATAAAAAGATGTTTTTCTTTTTATATTTGTTTTTTAGAAATATATATATATATATGTGTGTATTTTTACTTTATTTTCGTTTTTAATCCTTATAATTCTCTTACTCGAAATCTTATTCTTCCTAATTTTAGATAATCTCCAACTTACAATTCATAACCTTTTATGCCTTTCTATGTTTTAAAGATTTTACTACTTTCCATACACAATTTTCACTCAATCCTTCTAACTCTGGTTTAAGTTTAGGATCATAAGTAATTAGATCAGAATCTACTACATAATGGTTATCTCTAACATCTATCCATCCTAGTTTTTTTAAATCAGGATTATCTATTTAATTTGAATACATCAATTTAATTTCTTCTTTATCTCTAACAATGATACCTAATATAAATTTATAAATTTTTTAAAATAAATAAATTTACTTGGTTGAGGAACTTTTAGTTAAGACTTTGTTATTCCTTTACTTTCATAATCAAATAGTCCATGAGAATCTCTATTCCATGTATATGCCTTTATTGTTCTATTTTTTGTTTTTTTGTTTATTTAATATGATTTGTTATAAGATACAAATTTGTCGAATTAAATTTTCTCATTTTATCTAAATTAATTGGATCATTTCCTACAGATATATTTTAACAATTTCCCATTTAATTTAATATTAATTAATATTATTTTATTTTCTTTAGAAAAACAAAACAAAAAACAAATAAACTATTAATAAAATATTTTTATAACAAAAAAAGAAAAAATTTAAAAAAAAAAAAAGAAAAAAAATTATTTTAGTAAAAAAAAAAAAAAAATATTTATTAATTCTTTTTTTTTTTTTTAATTTATAAAATATAATTATATATATAATATTTCTATTATATTCAAACTTTTTCAACATCCGTTATATAATCATAATTTTCCAATTAATATGAATCAACAGAAATGTCGTGTCCTTTAGATGATTATCCAATAAAGTCTTCAGAATCCGTATAGTTATTTTAGTTTTAATTTTAAATATTTAAATCATACTAAACGAAATTATCTCCTGCAAAATTACCATGATCATCACATTATATGTCTTCCATAATATCAGATTATTCATTTGGAGAAGGTTAATTTTATTATTAAAACGGATTTTTATTATGAAATTAGCCTTATTTTTATTATTAAAATGGGTTAAAATTTTATTAAGTACCATTTTATGATCTCTAAGACTCCGAAGATTACTAAATTTATTATTTTTACAATTATTATTACTATTACTATTATTATTATTATTATTTTTAAGCCTATAATTATTATTATTTCTATTATTATAATTATTACAATTACTATTATTATTTTAATTAATCTTATTTTTATTATTCTTATTCTTATTAAATTTTCTATTATTCTTATAATTAAATTTTCTATTGTTCTTTAATTTTTTATTCCTCTATTTTTAAGTTTTATTATATTTCTTATTATTCCAATTCCATTTCGTGTTTACTTTTTTAATTATTTTATTTTATCTTTTTATATTCCTCTATTAATTATTCCAATAAGGATTGATTTACATTTTTTTAAACATTTAATTTAATTTAATCTCTTTTAATTTCCTCTTTTTAATTACATTCGGATGAAAATAAATTATTTGAATAATCCATATTATTATATTATAAGAACTCCTTTATTAATTAAATTGTTATTAAACCATTTTCTGTCTCATGTAATTATTAACATTTTAAATTTTCCCAATAATATGGGCTTGGTTTTTTAATTACAGCCTTATTACTGTTATTTTCTTAAGTATCTATTATTTTAAATACTGATGCCCTTATTTAAGCTCTTATATTACTTAAAGAGCCATTAGCTTCAAGAGATTATATAACTAAATTTTTAAGTTCGTTTAATTCTTACATATTTGTTTTTTTTTTAAAAAAAAATAAATAAATATTTATTTTATTTTCTTAATTTTTTTAAAAAAATTTAATAATTTAAATTTTTTTCTTATTTGAAATAATAAAAAAAATAGCTTTAATTATATTATAAAATAAATATATATATAAAAAAAAAACAATTTAAATAAAATTTATTTTAATCCTCTTCTTAAACTATACTTTCGTTTATATTATTATTATTATATAAGGGAAAAATATCAGTATTATTGCAAAATTATTTGATCATTTATGTTTTTGAAATAACTATATATCAATTTAACAAAAGTGATTTAATTTTCTTTTTTTTATATAAAAGTATATATAAATTACGTAAATAACATTCTTTTATTTTTATCCCATAACAAAATATCTTTATATATAATAAAATATACTATAAAAAAACTTTTATACCCACAAAAAATAAAAACAAAGTCTAGAGTTTTATATAAGCAAATCATGTAATTTTATGGTTTAATTTATTAATAATTATATTCAACTATTTTCTTATTATTCATTTTTATTTTATTTTTTAAATTAATAGTAAATGCTTTTTTTTCAATATTATTATCAATATATTAAACACTTAGTATATGACTTTCAGTTTATTTTGTTCGATTTCTTAATTCTAAAATTAAATATTATTTAATTTCATATATATTTACTTTAAAGTTCTTTCTCCAGTAGTTAATAATTCAATTTAATTATATTTTACTATTGAATTTTATTTAATTTATATTTTTTTTAAAGATTCGATTAGTTAATTTCTTTTTTAGAGTCGTTTTAATATTTTATAATAACAAAAGATTACTTAAAAAATATAAAAATTATTAGAAAACTTCTTTAAAAATTTAGGAAACAAATCATGTGAAATATTATATTAGGAAAAAAAAAAAAAAAAAACATAAATCTTTATTAAATAAATATTAAAACTAATAAACAATATAGTTTAATTTCATTTATTTATTTTAAAAATAAATTATATGAAAATATAGTTTAATTTCATATATTTCTTTTAAAAACTATACTTTGAAAGTTATAATTATATATTTTTAATATTTTTACATTTTTTTTTAAAAAAAAATATAAAGGAAAAAAAACATAAACTATATGTTTTTTAAAAAATTAATTAAAGAATAAATTTACTTTAAATACTATATTAATAGATTTTTAAATAATAAATAAAAATAACTATTTATATTTATTATATTTTTATATGTTTCTAATCTTTTATAAAAAAATAAAGTAATCTTTTTTCTAAAGATATCTTAAATAATAAAATTAATAATAATATTAAATTAAGAAAATAATATGGAATTAAAGATATTATACACAAATAAAAAATATATTAAATGTTTCTCATATTATTATTATATATATTCTTAATATTAAGTACTTAAATACAAATTATTTAACTTATTATAATAAAGAAAAATATAAATAACACATATATATAAATATAAAAAATTATATAAATAAATATCTATCAATTTTTATATATATATATATATATATATAAATATAAATATCTTTTAATATATTTATATATTCATAATAATACTAATTATTTAAAATAATATATATTAATTATTAAAATTTTTAATATTATTTATTCAAACAAATAATTTTTAATAAATCTAAATTATTTATTTTATTTTAATATTATATTATAATTAAATTATATAAATGAAATATTTGAATTTTTTAAATAAAATTTTGTATAATATTGTTGCTTTATCAATCTTTAAAAATTAAAGATTTATTATTTTTATATATTATACTATCAAAAATATTTTGAAAAAAATCAAAGTAAAGGTTGAATTATGTAATAATAATTGTATAATTTATATAAATTCAAAAAAAAATAATTTAAAAATTACAATTCAAAATTAAAAAAGGTAAATATACTAAAATTACATTAAATAATAACTATATAAAAAAAAAAATTATATAAACTATTCAATATCCAAGTTTATTATAAATTTTATAAAAAATAATTAAATAAATTATAAAGTAATATTTTTAAATATATAATATTTTTTAAATTACCAAATAACCTAATTTTATGATTTTAAGCTAATTAATTTATAATTCGATAACATAAAAAACAAAAAAGCTTAAGATTCTTATAATTTTCACATTAATAATAAATACAATATATCAAGAATTCGCCCCCCCCCCTAAAAATGCCCAAAAAGCAGCCTTTTCGTATGTATATGTTTAAGATACATATATAATAATTATTTTAACATCATATTTATAAAAAAATAAAATAATAATAATTCATTATAATTTTTGTTATTTTATATTTTATGAGGTATATATTATTATTTATTAAAAATAATTATAAAAAAAAAAGGATTATTAAAACTTTTACTTTCAAAAAATGAATATATAAAAGGAACATTTTTTTTATATTTTTTGTAAAAAATAAAAAGAGAAAATTATAATTATTTTATTTTTATCATAAAATTATGAAGTCTAAAAAATATCGAATTTTCGAAAGCAGTGTTTTTTTTTTTTTCTTATTTTTTTCTTATTTTTTTTTTTTTTTTTTTTTTTTTTTTTTTTCATATTTAAGGGGGAAAATATGGTATATCATTATTCTAATTATTAGTATTTTGATTTTCCCCATTATTAGTTTATTAATTTTCCAAATTATTTAATTCTTTAATAATTTATGTAGCCGATATAACTTTTATTAAACCTTCATATTTGTTTTATGTATCAATTTACAAAACTTATTAAATTTACTTTTTTTAGTTTAAAAATAAAATAAACTATATAAAAATTACTAATCTACATAAATAGCATTCATTAGTTTTTTTCCAAATATCTAAAGCACACTCATAACAAATACCTTTATAAATAATTAAATTTATTATTAAAACAAAAAAAGGAAAAGAGAAACAAAAATACCTCCATGTCCACAATTCATAAAAACAGAATCTGGTGTCTTATCAAAACAAACTAAACAAGTATTTACAGATTTTGATAAAATAGAACTTTAATCGCATTATTAATTATTTTAAGTTTCATTTTAATTCTTTTCTTTTAGATTTTAAGCTTTATTAATATCCATTGGTTTTTCAGTATCATTATTAGTATATTATAAACTTAGAAAAATTTTGCGTTATGGACAAATTTGTATATTTTTATCATTTTAAATTTATGATTTTTTCGGTTATTTTAATTAATTCTAAATTTAATTTGTTTAATCATTTGTAATTTTACTTTAATCTTCTTCAGTTAAAAGCTCGATTTTTTAATTTTTTTATTTTATACTTATAATATTATAAACATTTTTTTCTAATGAATTTTTTTTATTTTCTTTTTCTAATTTATTGATTTAATTATGTTTTAGAAAATTAAAATTTTTTTAAGAAATTGAACGATAAATATTTTTTTTTATTATTTTTTCTTAATTTTCATTTTCTTTCTTCTATTAATATTTTAGAGAATTTATAGAGGCTTTTTTAAAAAAAGTATTAGAAAATTTATATAAAAATTTCGGAATTAAATCATAATTTACAGAACTTTATTACTCAGTTACTATATTATTTCTTTACATCTCATTCTAATTTGTAATAGTTCTATTATTATTCTAAGTATTCTAAATTTATCCGTATTAAATTACTTAGCTACTATTTTAAATAGTATCATTATTTTCATTCTTATTATCCAAAATTATAATAAAGTATGTGTAGATTCTTTATATGTTTAATATATATATATATATATATGTATATTTTTTATAGTATTAATAAAATAACATTATTGAGTTTTTCCAATATGTACTTAGTAAAACGTTTATTATTGTATATATTATCAAATAAATCTAAAATACTTATAATATATTAGGATCGTTTTTATCTAATTTATCTACTATTCCTAGTATAAACATCATACTTCCTAATGTAAAAGACATTATTTAAAAGAAATACCATATTTATCCTTTTACTTTATAAAAATATAATTAATAATTTTATTTTGCTTTTAATATTAAACTTTTTATTTACATTCGTATATCTATGATTCCCCTAAACAAAATGAAAAAATTTTATTTATAAGCATTAAAAACAAGCCAAAATCAACTCCTATTAATAATGTAAGCATTATCCAATATGGCCAAACTGTTTAAAACCATGACCATTCATCAATTAAATTAGTATTTATCTTCGAGCATATAGAAATTGCCAATATTATCAAAAATAAATTGTATATAATAACTATCTATTTATATTTAAAATATATATTTTTTTTTAAAAAGAAATTTAATATTTTACAAAATCAATAATACTATTAAAATATTTATTTTTATTATCAATAGAATATATTTTTAATCTAAATACCAAATTAATTGTTAATGAAATAATAATTATAAATAAATTTTTTATTATCTTTTCTACAAAACAGCATATAATAACCTTTTATTAAACAAATATTTATATATTTTTAGATAAATATATAATAATTTAACGTTTAATATAATATATATATATATGCTTACTTTTAACAATATATTATTCATGTTTTCTAAAATTAAATAAAACTATTTTTTTGTGTCATATTTTTATTGATTTCTTAATTTTGAAAATTAATAAATATTTGAGTATTATCTTATAAAATTAAAACTGCGATTGGAATAAAATAAGAAAATTAATATAGAATTGAAGATACAATACAAAGAGATGAAATAACAATAAAAAATGATTGACACAATAAAGATAAATAAGCTCTTTTGATTTCTTTATGCTATTATTTTATATATTCTGATTATGTGCTTAATTATAAATTTTAGCAATTAATATTATTACTTTCTGTGGTAAAATTACTATGCTAATAAAAATTTATTGAGTTTGTTTAATTATTATTATTTTGTAATTAGTTCATTAATTTTATTTTGAATAAAAGAAAATTTATTTTTATGAACGAATATTAAAATTAATAATTAATTTTAAAAATAAAATATTATTTTTAATAATTAGCTTAATATTAATTTATTATATAGTTTTTATTTTTTTATCTCTATATATATATATATATATATATATATATATATATATATATATATATATATCTTATTTATTTTTAAATAATTCAATTAAAAACTCAAAAAAGGCGATAAAAAAATTTAATAATGACAATCAATTGTTAATAAAAATTTTATTTAAAAATAAAAATAAAAAATATGAATAAATAATATTTTTAAATTATATTTATAAATATATAATTATATTTTAAAAAATATATATTTTATTTATTATTATTAGAATTCATATAGTTTGAATATTTATTTTAATTTTAAATCTTAATTTATTTAATTTATTTAAATATTTAGATATTTAATTTAATTTATAATTTTCGCAATATAAAGTTTTATTGTAGTCTAATATATTTTTTAAACATCTATATTGAAATGATAAAATTAATAATTAATCCTATTTTTTAAAATCCATTATATGATTTTAAAAATAATAATAATTTATATTACATTTTTATATTTTATAAATTATTATTATTTCTATTTTATTATTTAGCAATAATTTTCTATTATATAATTAGATATTATAGAAATGAATATGTAAATAAAAAATATTTTTTAATTAAATCTTTATATATTTTTAAAAAATAATATATTAAATTATAAATTTATCTTTCTTTGATTCTTTGAAAATTATTTTTTTTATATCTTGTAATTTGACCATAAAAATAAATAAGTATACTATTTAAAAAATATTAAATAAAAATTTTAAATATAAATATTTTTAAAAATAAATTTTGTATCTACTAATATCATTTAATTTTATTTTAATTTTTACAAAAATCATTCAGGTATTAAATAATTATTTATTTTTTAATATATTACCTAGAATTTTTAAATTGAATTAATATTAATGTTAGTAATATATATAATTTTTAATTTATTATAAAAATTTTATGGAATTTATTACTTTAAAAAATTAATTATATTTTTTAAAAATAGGTCTACATTAAAATTAAATTTATGTTTAAAATCAAAAAAATAATATAAAAATATAAAATAAAATCAAATACAAAATGCTCTAAAATGATACTAATGAATAAACATAAGATAATTATTATTTAAATGAAAATAATTAACAAAATTAAATAAATGTAAAAGTTAAAGCATAAAATAATTTATAAAATGAATAAGAATAAAAAATTTATAAATGGCTAGACGAACAAAAAATATTTATGGTATGTCCTTCAGAAAAAATACAAAAATTTTATAATTAAAGAAAATAAAAAATATTTTCAAATATTAATCATTTAAATAAAAAAAGCTCGTATGATTTATAACCATATGAATTTTAGATGCCAATATTAAAAAATCTAACAAAAGATAATGATTTAGATAACAATTAATAAGTAGAATAAGTAGATTAAAAAAAATTTAAATATAGAAAAGAAAGCGAATCTCTTTATGACAGAAGAAAAAATAAATAAAATACTGTATTTGAAAAAAATGATTCTTTTATTGAATAATTATTTAGAAAAAATAATGCGATATGATTTGATGAAAATTTTAAATTAATGTTGAATAATAAAAAATAAATTTATAAAAACTAATAAAAACAATTAAATATTATATATTAAGAAAAAACAAATAATATTTAATAGACAATAAAAAAAAATTATAATTAAATGTTTATATTAATTTAAATATAAAGATTTATAAAATATTATATTAAAAATAAAATAAAATATTATATAAATATATGTATAAAAATTATATATATATATATATATATTATTATATATATATATTTTTATATATTAATTTATGTTTTATACTATATTTATAATATTTCATTCTATAGTTTTATTTTTTTCAGTTTTTCTTCATATATTATATTTTTCATTATTTAATAATATGAATTTATTTTTAATTTCATATAATTTTTTTTTATTAAATCTAAATATATATCTTTTTATTTAATTATATTTTTTTTTTTTTCTATTTTTTTTTTTTTCATTATAAAATTTAATTTTATATATATTTTATTTTTCTTCATTTTTTTAAAACTAATTATAAAAAAATATTACTATTAAAATTTATTATTTTTCTTTATTTTTTATATTTTAAAACAATATTAATATATAAATCATATCAAATAAAGTTATATTTTTTTTTTTATGTTATAAAAATATTTAAAAAAAAAATTATAATAAATAATTATATTAAATATTTAATAAAATATATATACTAATAAAAATATTATATTTTTTTTTTAATAATATATAATATAAGAATTTTTTTTTTCTTGTATATTTTATTAACAATTAACATTTTTCATTTTTACACTTCTTTTATTCCTTATATTTTAATATTTTTATCACTTTATATTATTATATTATTACTAACTAAAAAAATAAAAATACAAATAATTAAATACTAAAAACTATAAAATTTTTACTTTTATGTTCCGCTTTATTATTTTCTTCATTGTTTAAATTAAGAGAAGACTATTTTCTAAAATTTAAGCTTTCTAAATTTAGGAATAAAGGCGATTTCATTTAACAATAATTAATACTACTTGGAGAATTTAAAATAGAATTAAATTAAAAATTACTATTTTATAAAGCAGTAGAAGTTGACGAAAAGGTGAAAAAATCAATTTTTTAGTTTTATTCGTCAAATCTTATTCATCTTATTTAATAGAATCTTCATAAAAAAAGCTTAATTAAGTTCTTTTTTTATTTTAATTAATTTCTTCTTCTATACTATTATTAGAAATACTGGCATTATCATATTTTTTCTTCTTATTCTTTTTATTTTTATTCGTTTAGTAACTTTTTATTATATTATTAACTGCATTATTTTAAGCCTCCTATAAGCTTTCTTCAAATAAAGCCTATAGATTAGAATCACAGCCACTATTAAAACCTTCTTTTATTATATACTATAAATGTTATTAAGAAATAGTTAAAGTTTCATTCAATAACTCTTAACATGCATTTTCACTGAAATTCTTGGATGAAGTTTTTGCTTCTGATACATTTACAAAAGGCATTATAAAAGACTAAAATGGATTTACAGGAAAAACTGTAGTCACTAAAACAGTACTTACAATTTTTTATTTACGATCTCTATTTGCTTTTTTTCCAATTCTTCCTTCTTTTAAATATATTTAAAATATTGCCTTACAAGTAGAAAGTTTAAGACCGTATTCTTAAGCGACCTTTATTATTTTTATTTATAAAAAATATATATATATATATATATATATATATATATATATATATATATATATATATTTGATACGTCTTTTAAATTAGCATTTTCATTTTTAAGTTTATTTATTATCTACTTACGGACATCTTCATTAATGACTTTATATTTTTTTCGGTTATTTAAATCATAATTTTGAGAATTCATTATTCTTTTTGTTTTTGTTTTATTAAGTATAGAAATGTATTTATTATTTATTATTAATTATTTATTTGTGGTTTTAGATAAATATTTATATTATAAAGACCTTTTATTTGCTTTTTAATATGGGTTAATAAAATTTAAATATATAAGAGTATAATATGATTAACGATATTTAAATATATTTTAATTTTATTTATTTATTTATTTATAATAAAATAATATATACTAAAATAAAAAAATATAATGTTCAATATATGTTTTTGATATTAATATATAAACTATTTCTTTTTGATATACTAGATATTAATAATTATATTTATTTATTATTATTAATCCCCACTCATATAGCATTTTTCTTATAAATCTATAATAAAGCTTAACAAATTATTTATTTTTATTTATCAACTTAGTTTAAATCAACAAATACACTATTTCCATATATATTACTCAAATATTTATATTATTCATAAATAATAATAAAATTTTCAAATAATTATATAGTCTCTTAAATGTCTTAATTTATACTATTAAAATTTAAAATTTCATTAAGTTTGCAATTATCTTTAAATATTTCAGGTAAAAAGCATTGCTTATTTTAAATAAACTACTTTGCATATAATTAAAATATATTTTATTCAAGTTCATATTATTTACCATTTCTAATAGGACATTTCCCGAATCTATATTAATCTTCTAAGCTTAAATTATATTTTTATATTAGATTTAACCTAAACTACATATCTTAGCAAGATGAATAAAAATATATATCATCAATACAACTTAATTCAGCGAATTTCTAAAAAATATCTATTAAATTAAAACTTCTATTTGGATATATTTATTCTAATAAAGACTTAGTTTCTAATATTTAATCAAAAGAAGGCTCTATTGCCGCTTTAATCTTTTATTACCTATTTTAATTGGATTAATCATTCAATGCCTTTTAAATAATCCTAATTTAATCTTAATAAAATGCACAAACTTCTCCATTTTCTTAATATCTTCCAGCTCTTCCTGCAATTTATTAAATAGCTGAAAAATCTAACCTATTCATAACGTTTTATTATAGTTTATAAATATTTGTAAAAACAATTCTTTTAATATTTAAATTAATTCCCATTCCTATAGCATCAGTTGATATTAAAAATTTATTCTATTAACTATTAAATAAATCAGCTTATTATATCTTAATTTCGAAAGGCTATCTCCCATATATAATACTACAATAATTTATTTTACAAGTCTTAAATTTTTAATTAGAAATATCATTTATTTTCTTTTACAAAGCAAAAATATCATTAATAGAAAAGCAAATAAAGCAATCCTTTTTTTTATTAAAAATATAATATATATATATATATATATATATATATATATAATTACTCCTTCTTTTAAATCTTAATTAAGTTTATATTCGTCTTTTCTTACTTTTAATTCACTCATTCTTTCATATTAATAGCATTCGAAATCATCTCCTTGTGTTTTACAAATATTTTATACAATATCTATAGCACTTGAGTCCCCACAAAGATGTATTTCTTTAGCTTTAAGACCTAAGAGTGTTGTTGTCCAAGCAGATCCTCTTTCTTCATTATTTATCTATTATATTTCATCAATAATTGCTATATCGAAATCCATATGTATTAAATTTTTAGAATATTCAACAGTGCAAGAATATATACTAGCTTAAGGATTTATAAGTTTTTCAATTCCAGTTAATAAGCTACATGCTTTATTATTTTAATTCAATTTATAATATATTTCATTTGCTAAAAAGCGTAAAGGTGCACAATATATACCAGATTAAGATTTCATTAAGCTTTCTAATGCTTTATAAGTTTTCCCTGAATTAGTTGGGCCATAATGATAAATAATTTTTCTTTTTTAAGTTTTTTTGTTAATATAATTGTTTGTTAAATGTTATAAATTAGTACTTTTTATTAAATTCTTACATAACTCTATTTGTTTAGGAAAATTAGTATTTAAAAAATGTATGAATAAAGTATAAATAGGATAAAAGTTTATTATTGTATTATCTAATTAAAATAAAGGAAATTTTTTTTCAAAAATTTTAGTTTTTTTATAATAAGATAAATCTAAAAACTTAATAATAATATCTTAATAATCTTTATTTTAATATATTGATTATTGGAAATATTCTAAGTATGTATTTTTTATAAAATCTGGTATAATTTATTAATTTTCTTTTAATAATTATTTTATTTATTGAATTTCAAATAATTATAATTGAGATTATAAATCAAAATATTTATATTATTTTTTCAGTATATTAGAAAATTTTGGTTATTATTTTTAAATAATTGTTGATAATTATTCTTCTTATATATACTTATATAGTATTTAAAATATTTTGAATTTTAATGTAAATAGATATTATGGGATTTTCTAAAATTAATAAAAATATATTTAACTTTAAGAATATTAATACTACTAATATAATATCATTAAATTATTTTAGTAGATATATTAAATAAATAATAAATATTTACATATATTCTAATAAGTTAATACATTAAAATTCTAAAAACCATAATTTTAATTAATCAATATATATTTTTTATTTTCAATAATATCTTTAAATATTTAATATTTCTTTTCATTTAAAGTTTAATCTATAATTTAAAATTATTATTATAAACAATATTATGTTAAAATCATTTTATCATAATTTTATTATTAATTCAAATCAATTTACTTTAATAATTATATTTCTTTTTATAAATTACTTTTAATAATTTGTAAGTTTTACATTAAAATTTTTTAGATATTTTAATATAGATTATAACTATATTAATAAATGTTATCAAATTTAATCTTTTCTATATTAGTTTTTTTTTAATTTATATTTTTAATTTAATTATTGTCATCAAATTAGTTGTTTTAAAGTACTTATTAATAATCTAAAATTAATTTATGTAGTTTTTCTATTAAAACATCACAATCCTTTATTTCGAAATTTATTGAATATTAATCTAAAAATTAATAATCAAAGTTTATAAGATATTTATTGTTTTTTAGGATTTAATTAAATAATTACTAATGCTTTTCAAGAAAATCTAATTTTATTAATAATTAATCTATCTAATTTTATACTCTAACTATTTTTAATTATTATTATTTTATTTTATATTAATATTGAATTAAACTATTATTTTTTATAATTTATAATTATTCCTTTAATTAGTAAAAATTATTTAACTAAATTTAATTTAATTCATTATATTAACCATATAAGCTATTTTTTTGTTATAAAAATAAAATAAAATAAAATCAAAAAAAGAAAAAAAAAAAGGAATACTTTTCAATATTATTTAAGTGATATAAATTATAAATATATTTATTATAATCTATATAGATAGATTTTATAGAATTTTAGTTTTATTAATGTAATAATTAATAAAAGATTAGTTAAACTTAAGATCTAATATATTTTTTACTTTAACCTACTAATAAACTATGGAATAGTCTTTTTCCATTAAGAAAAACATTAAAATATAAATATCTATATAAATAATCATCTTATATATATATTTATTATTATTTATATTGAAGATTTTATGTTTTAATAGGACTATAAAATTTACAATATTATTATTATTTTTCAACTTTTTATTCGGAATTTTCATTTATATAACGTATTTTTTCTTGTTTTTTTTATTAAATTGCAAAATTATTGGATTTATTATTATTATTATTTTCTTTATATTACTTTTCACTCTTTTTACCTTCTTTTTATTAATTTTTTTGATCATTATTTTCATATTTTAATTATTTTTATTTTGTTTGATTTATTTATTTTTTCTATTCTAAATCTTAAATTTTGGTTTTTTTACATTTCTGTTTTTAATTGATTTCATTTGTTTTCTTTTAGATGACTTTATTTTTGTTTTCATGTTAAGTTTTATTAAATTCATATTAAAAATCATTCTAATCTAATTATTAAATAGATTTTTTTAATTTTTTTGGTTTTTAAGATATAGGCTAAATAATTTGGCAAAAGTATTAATTTTATAGTTAATTTAACTATATTCTATAAGCCGTACCAATTTATAACTTTACACACTTCAAATAAATACAACTCATATTAAATTTATTTGCTTTAAGTAACATTAAAGAAAATAAATTAATTTATAAAAATAAAAGATTGAATAGATAATAAAATATTAGAAAAAAATTATATATATGTTTTTTCTTTTATATATATATATAAATATTAGATTTATTTATCATTATTTAAATATATATATATATATATATATATATATATATATATATATATATATATATATATTTATTAATTAAATATATAAAAAAAAAATACATATATAATGTTTATATTTTTAATACTTTAATTATTTATTATTAAGTATTTTTTTTTTTTTCTATATTATCATTTACTTTTATTATTTAAGTCTTGTTCTATTTTTAAAATTCTTAATTATATTTTTTCCAAATTTTATTTAATATTTTTAGTCATTTCATTTAAATAAGCTTTATTATTTTCTAATTCATTTTTTAAACTTGTATGTAAATTATTTAAATTATTAACTTAAATGCTAAATCCTGTCGATTCATTATTTAATGTTTTTAAATTTTTCATTCTATCAATTAAATAAGGTAATTCGTTTGCAATACCTATAAAACTTTAAAATCTTTCATAAACAATATCAATTTATTTAACATCCTATGGAGTTAATTAATTAGCCTAAGCCAATATCATTTTTTTTATTAAATTTTCTCAATTTATTATTCCAATTCTCTTACTTTAGAAACAACTTGATCTGGTTTTTATTATATTTCTTCTATTTAATATATTATTTATTCAGTTTTATTAATAGCAGAGTTTTTATCTGTAAATTTTTACGGTTTCTATAAAAAAGTTAGCCCAAGTACTTTTTCTAAATTATTAATTCTCTATTCTATTTTTATAAATTCTTCATTTTTTAAACTGTCGTCTTATTCGAAAAAAAACTCTATTTTAGATTGAAATTAATTATTTTAATTAATGCCTAAATTTTAAATCTTTTTTATTATAGATTAAATTAATTATTTCTTTAAATCTCTTTTTAATAAAACGAAACTATTTTCCATATTATAACTTTCCTTTTATTATTACTAACTCCATATATCGTCCAAAATTTTACAAATATTTTAATTTGAGACTAATGTTTCTATCTCTTCTTATATTTTTTCTATATCATCTATTATTACTTTACTATTTTTATCATCCGGTATTTTTATTTCTTTATCTTTTTCTATTAAATAATCTACCTAATCTTTAAACTAAATCAAGTCAAATTATAAACGATTAAATTTTTCTTTTGGAGTCTCATATTCGCCATTTTGAGGTTTACCTTTATATAAACTTAACATATTATCTCTTTTATTCAAAATCTAAAATGCTTAGCTTGCATTTGCAATACTATGATTAATAGTAATTTAGTCGTCTATATTTTCTATGGTTTTTTACTCAGATAATGTTTATTTCTCTAATTCTTAATAGCTTTGTCCTTAAATTTCATAATAATCACCTTATTTTTATAATTTAAAATAACTCATTTTTTTTTTTTAATTTTTAAAAATAAAATAGAATACTTAAATTATTATATATAAATAAATCTTTTATTATATTTAAAATAAAATCATATTTTTAATTTATAAATATAATTTATTTTCGGTTCTTTTAAATTAAATAGCTGAATTTTATATAGTTTTTTTTTAAAATATGACATTATAATAATATAAATCTATATATATATATATATATATATATATATATATATATATATATATATATATATTTAACATATGTAAATATATAATATTAATTATTATTTATATTTATATAATAAAGGCCAATATATTTAAATAATATCAATATAATTTCAATTTAATAAACTTCAAAAATATAGAACTTTACATATTTAATATTTTTAGAATACTTTATACTAGAAAAAAAAATATAGAATCACTCTATTATTTAAAGAATATATTTATATTTATTTTACTACTAATTAATTATTTCGATACTTTTTTTATTTATAATTTGTTTCGTTCGTAATAAACTTAAATAATTTAACATAATTCTCATTTGTGTCAAATTATTAACTTAAACAGTATACTACTATAATTTTCTAATATATTAATAATACCTTTCTAAATTACTATATAACCAAGAAAGTTAATCAAATATCGGATTTCGAAGATACGATTCAAAAGTTAAGAATTTATTTTCTGAAATTAAAAACGAAAATCAAAGCATAAACCCTATACTCTAATTTATTTAGGAATCATTTTCCCTCATCTTTAAAAATTTTTAATACCTTTAAAGGCCTTATTATTAAATTATTAAAAATAATATTAAAAGACCCAAACCTATTTAAAAAGACTTTATTTTAATTTTTAATTTAAAAAACAAAAAACAAAATTATTTATTTAATTATCAAAAATTAAATAAATATATAAATTTTTATTATCATAATTATAAATTATATTATATATAGATTTTTAATTTTTTTTATTTATTTATTATTTTTAAAATAAAAAAACATATATTAATTATATAATGTTTTTTATTATTATTTATTAATCTTCCTTACCTTTTTTGTTTAAAAGCC